TAGGGCAGTCGTTGCCGAACACGCGAATTTGGTGGTAGCCTCCTCGCAGGTCGATTTTGGAGAAATAACGAGCTCCGCGAAGTTGATCCAGCAGATCGTCAGTTCGCGGGATCGGGTAACGCGATTTTATCGTGACCCGATTCAGCGCCCGATAATCAATGCACATGCGTAGGCCTCCGTCCTTCTTCGGCGTGAACAGTATCGGCGCTGCAAGTGGCGACGTGCTTGGTCGTATGAACCCCTTGGCCAGCAGGTAATCCAGCTGGCTCCGCAACTCGGCGAGCTCTGGTTGGCTGAGCCGCCACTGTGTCCGCACAGTAGGTTGCTCGCCTGGTTCCAGCTGGATCCGGTGGTCTTTTGGACGCTGAGGGGGCAGGCCATCCGGGAGGTCATCCGCAAAAATTTCGGGATACTTCCGAATGATGCTCGCCAACTCCTCAGGGACTGCCATGCAGAGCGTGTCGATGTCCGCGATTTTTTCAGAAGCTGCCGCTTCGTACAGGTGCACCGCGTAGGCTTGAGCTCCACTGTTGATCGCACGCGCCATGTTGACGGCGTTGACACGTGTCATCACCGGCTCCAGGTCCGTCCATTTCGGAAGCGTCGTCGGCCCTGCATGTCCTCGTACGACGCACGCTCCAGTCGTCCAGTCGATCGTCGGATTAAATCGCTGCAGCCAATCTCGTCCCAGCACCACATCGCAGCCGTCCAGCGTCGTCGCCAACATCTTCATGCCAAACCCGATTTTTTCGCCACATTGGATCCGAATTTTTCGCGTCTCATCTCGGATTGCCAGCGGTGTCCCATCCACCAGCCTTGCATCAATCTCCGACAGACATCTGTTCAACTTCACCCCTATTTTTTTGGCCGTTGCCAGGTTGACGAGGCTGTGAGTCGCCCCACCGTCAACGAATATTTTTATTTTATAACCGTTAACCCTCCCCACCACCAGCACAGGGTAGTCCACGTGTTCACCCACGTTATTCGTCCGGTTCTGGTCGATAGCTCTGATCGGTACCACGACCCGGTGTGGATGGTGATTGTCGGGCGACAGGGTCTCGTCAGTAGGGGGGTCGTCTGCTACTGACTCACATCTTTTCCCGACCCTTCTCCGTCGTTCTTCTTCCCCTGCTTAAGCCTCGGGCAGTCTTTTTTCAGGTGGCCCAGCTGGTTGCATAAGAAGCACGGCCCAAGGGCTCGGCTTGGTGCATCCACGCCGTTGATCGTGGGCTGCTGAGTCGATCCACGAAATCAAGGGCCCTCCCGGGAGCTCAATCTCGCCCATTGTATCAGCACATACGTTGACTCGGCTTCCCGGACGGCGTCGTTGAAGCTGCGTGGCCGGGTTCGTCGGACCTCGTACTGTATCTCGTATTTCAGGCCCGCCACGTAGCGATCCAACCGCTCCGCATCGCTCATGTCGTCCACTTGGTCCGCCAAGTTGCTGAATGTGCTGGTATAGTCTTGGACCGAAGTCAGCTGCTTCCAGGCACGCAGCTTCATGCGAGCAGAGTCCGAGGCGGATATGTGCTCGAATATGGTTCGCAAGGCGGCGCCCCACTCCCTCCATGTGCGTATCGTAGCCGTCCCGAAAATTGATGCTGCTCGTTGCGTGACAGGTGTCGAAGTCCCGTCGTTTGCACGTACTATTCCTGCCGAAGTCCCTTCGTCCTGCAGCGTTCGCCTCCACCACTCCAGCGCAGGTCCTCGCAATAGTGAAACTGCAAATTTAATACGGGTGGCATCGTCATAAATCATAGCAGCATTGAAAAACACCTCCACGCCGAACAACCATGCAGAAACAGTGACGAACTTGTCACTTGGGTTAAATGGGGGTGGGTTTGTCGGCTTAATTTGAACAGTTGTTAAAGCCGTCGCTGCTCCTTGGACTGTTGGCATTGCTGCTGGCGTCGCCGTCGTTGTCGCTGCTATACGTGTCGGTACTGCACGCGACTGTTGCGGTGACTGCCGCTGCTGCGCTTGCCTCGCTTCGTCCGCATCCATCTTGCCTTCCAGCTCGATCCAGACCCGCTCGTCTGGTGCAGTGCTGCTACCTGCGTCGTCGACGACAGGCGACTCCTGGCGCGCTTCACCACGCGCCTGGTGTAGTTCGGCGTTTCCCTTCCGGAGACGCTCCATTTCTGCAGACATAGTCTGCATTCTGGCCTGCATCATCCGGAACTGTTGCATGACCTCGTTGAACTCCGCCTGGTCCATGTGTCGCAGGCTTCGTCTAACGGGCAGGGGGTGGCTAGCGATTTTTCTGACTTCGGTGAAGGCGTAAACGCTATCGTAGTTGGAGTGGAATAATCGTATCTATTCCACGGGCCGACCGCTTTACAGCCCACCAAGTCTATCGCTCCCCTTCTACAAACTACCCCGGAAACGCGAGGGTAACCTAGGAAAGTAGCTCTGATACCAGGTGTTATGAGTTGTGAAAGGGAAGAGTGCGCAGAATTCAATAATGCGGAAGTGATTATCACGTCTCATCGAACAACGAGGGCTAGGACTAATATAGCAATACTAGCTAGCCGAAGGTCGCGGGGTCGTGGGATGGTTGGGTGCAGGTTCGGGGTTGGAAAACCCGAAGGCGACGCGGTGGTGGTTCGGAAGGCGAGGTCAGCGGACCGAGCCTGGGTTTCCGAAAACCGGGGTTGTACGCGTACAGTGTGACCCAGTAAGGAATTGGAAAAATTCCTTACAATTTGTGAGATTTGAAACTGTAGCATGGTTAGTTACGGGTAGATTGGGTAATCGATCCGCACATCGATCGCATCAGATGATCGATCCTCTACTTTTACCGGGTCCTAACCACTTGCACTCCACCCAAGCCTTTTCACCAACTTTTTCCCTACATAGGCGGTTGAGAACGACGGTGTAGATTCGAGAGCGGTTTGTTTGATTAGCCGCTCGATACTCATCAGCCTGAACTGAAAGCGTATCAAACTGTGATGAGACCTGATAAGTCCAGTAACACCTCACGCATGTCTCGCTGCCGCCACATAGATTAGAGCCATCACATTAGTTACATATTTAGCGGCTCTCTTTCGCATGAACGCACGTTCGTCAAGGTCGGTATCAGCGAGGCTTTGTCGCATTGCGATCTTAATCTCCGGTCGTGAACAATCGCTGGGGTCGCATAGTATCGCACTAGTAGTCTCAGTCGCCGTAAATTTGTCTTTACCGAACTTGCTTTCGTGTCAATTGCCCTTTGAGTTCGGCAGGGAAATTTCACCTTTTGTTACTCCTCCGCCTGTCGTCTGGATTCTCTATGAGCTGATTCGGTAATCGCCATCATCCCTTCTGTCTTTACTAGCAATGGCGGCCCTCCCGTCCTTTCTTCCACCATCCGCTGTATAGTCAAGTACTGGCAATGCAAGGGCCACGTGGCACGTACAGCCAGAGATGCTGGACCGTTCGATCAATTGATCAATCTCCCCGAGTTCCCATCACTGGGAAGGCGTCCCTTTTCTGAATAGTTGTAGTTATCTGACTAAGACGCTCGCCCCGTCGAAGGACCATCGTGCGACTTTTCAGTCGACCAGGAACGCACGACGCGACGCCACCGCCGTACGATGCTCATCTTCCCATCCGTACGCACAATTGGATTCTCGAATGCGGTACTCTAAGGTCCGTTTTAAGATGACCGTGACGGCACGCCTCTCTCACCTCCTCACCCTACGCATCCTTCTGCACCCCCCCCTCCGCTCCTCGTCCTCCTCCTCTTCATCTCCGCCGCACGATCCCCCGTTTGCAATGCCGCTGCCGCCGCCACTCTCGCAAGGACCACCGACGCGCAATTGACGGCAGGAAGCATCAGAGACAGAAACAGCAGAATCGCGTTCTCTCCGCCTTTCCTCTCGCAACGTCCCGTCAACTCCTTTCTCTCCGTTCCCACAGAACGGTCCTCTAGCCGTCACGATTCTGCAACCCTTTCTGCTCTAAGTAATCCAGTTCCCAGAAGGGCCGATTTCAAACCCGCGTCTCGGGATGGCGGGTCGCGAGCTTCGCGCATGTTGCGAGAGGACCTTTCGTTTGGCGCAGTGTGGCAAGTGGCAGTGGAGTGCTGAGGTATGGAGACATCTGAATGTGTTGTTTGTGTGAGAGTGGGAGAAGGGGGAAAAGGAGAAAAGGGACAAGAGGGGATGAGGAGAGGGATGAGTAGAGGGGGAGGAAAGGGGGGATAAGAGGTGAGGAGAGGAGGGGGGGAGAGGGACGGGGGGTGTTAGGAAGGTAGAGAGATGGGAGAGGAAGGGGAAAAGGAGGGGGGGAGTGGGAATCGCAGGAGAGGCGGGAGCTGGGAGAATGGGCAGGGGTTATGGTTGTCCGGTTTGCGGAAGCAGATGAGGGGTTTGAGGAATAATAGGGCAGCGAGGGGGATTTGCTGGCAGAGGCGGTTGTGCTGCTGGTTGGCCGTCTCTGGTCGTGCATTGAGGGGGATAGGGGAGAGCGTGAATGGGGGAATGAGGGTGGGAGAGGGGAAGGGCTAGGGATGGAAGATGGGAGTGTTGCAAGAAGGTGAATAACCCATTGGTTGTGTTGCATTGACTTTAAGCGTTGCCATGTGCTCACTTCCATTCTCATCGCTTCTCATCGTCCCGTGTCTGTCTCCATGCTTTGCCCCTCGTACCACCAGCTCAGTACTGTGCTTTCCATCCACATGCTGCCACGTGGAACCAGACAATTGGAAGCATAAGGGACGGGCAGGAGAAGGTAGGGGAGGCGGTGCAGGTGAGCAAAGTTGCCCCTTATTTCACCTTTCTTCCCCTTCCCCGTTGTTGTCTCCCCCTCATGGCCTCCTTTTCCCCCGTTTGTAACAACCGAGGGCAGTGCTTGTGAAGGCCGAGCACTGTTTCATGTTTCCCACTTCCCACTTCCCACTTCCCACCTCCCCCACGCCCTCCCTCCCTGACATGTATTTGCTGACATGTCCCCCGTTTCCCACTTCTCACTTCTCCGACTTCCCTCTAAATGAACCTCCTAGACGTGTCAGAGCGCTCATGGCTCATACACAACAGGAACACACCCTTGCGTCTATCTGTGCACCTGCCCCCAGTGCCCCCCTCCTTTTCTTGCGTTTACCCCACGTTTCTTCGCACTTTGCTCTTTCCCCCAAACCCCTCCAGATGGACCTCCTACACATGTGCGGCCATGTCAGTGGCGCTCGTGGGCAGCAGAAACATGCTCCCCTGGTATCTGTCTGTCTATTTTGGTCCCCCTCCCCCCCCCCTCATATTTCCGTTCCCCCTGCTCTATTTCACTCCCCCTCTCCAGATGGACCTCCTACATGTGTGCGGCCATGTCAGTGGCGCTCGTGGGCAACAGCAGGAATGGAATTTCAAGTATGCATAGCAGCTGCTGCTGCTGCTGCTGCTCGCCGGTCCAGAAAACTATTGGCTACCGATTCTGCTAATTCTGCTGGGCTGGCTGTTGACGCTGGTGTGACTGGTGCTGCTGCTGCGAATACTGCGGGTGAGCATGGGTTGCACACACGACGATGGCAAATCCGTCTCATGTTCAACCCTATCCTCGCTTAGTGTCCTCCGTCTCATGTCCTTCCTCCCTGTCTGCTTGCTGTGTAGGCGTTCTTGCTGTGAAGAGAACAAGGTGCGTGGGAGAGGGAGGGTGTATGCATAGGCCGTGGGGATCTTTTCTTAAACTTCTTGCCTCCCAATTTCATCTGTATGCAAAGGCGTGGCCCTTTTCTCCCCTTCGCTCATGCCCGTTCTCATATCTCATGTTGTCCATGCCTTTCCTTCTTTCTGCAATCCCCTGCTATCAGATTATATGCTTCAACTTTTCACAACCTCCATCAAACCCCCCTCCTCCTCCTCCCCCCTATCCCTCCTGTCCCCAAGCCGTCCTTCTCTCCCCCTACCTTCCCCCTTCTCCCCTCCCACTTCTTTCTCGCCATGCTCTTGCTTTCAGCACATTCTCCTCCCCCTTATCCATCCTGTCCCCAACCCCTCCTTCTCCCTCCTCTCCCCCCCCCCCCCCCCGCCCGTTCTCCCTTCTCCTGCCTTCAGCACATGCTGCACCAGCAGCACGGCAGGATAGCAGAGTCATGCTTGTCAGAGCACCTCGCAATCCAAGAGGTATTGCTAAGGACCCCTTCTTTCTGTGGCCTCCTGTCATCGAATTTTGTGCTTCAGTTTACCCATTTTTTTACCAAAAAACCCTCCTTTTGCTCCCCACTACCACTGCTCTTCCCAATCCGTCCTTCTCGCTGCCATGCTCCTGCTCTTCTCTGCCATCCCACTCTGTTTCCATCACGCTTTTCATATCTGCTCCACCACAAGAAGCAGCAGGATAGCAGAATTGTGCAAATTAGTTCATGTCTTTCGGTAGCTGCAAAGTTTTCTCCTGTTTGTTTATTATAGCACCTCACGTTCCAAATGGTATACCCTTCTCCTTCCCCCTCACTCCCTCCATCCATTGCTGTACTATATTCTTGATGTGTCTCTTCTCTCCCCCTCCGTCTTCTCTGCCTCCGTCGCATTCTGCCTCAATCTCCCATGGTTCCATGAATTATAGAGTTTCTCCCTACCTTCCCCTCCACTCCTCCCTCTCATTGTCCAACCAGCCTACACCACCTGTTTTTTTTATCATTAAAAAAACAAGGAACCCTGCCACACCACCTTGTGTCTCCTTGCCATTTTCTTTCCCTCCCTCCCTCCCTCCCTCTCTCCGTCCGTCCCTCCGTGCCTCCCTCTCGCTCTCCTTCCCTCCCTCTTTCCCTCCCTCCCTCCTTCTTTCCCTCCCTCCCTCCCTCTTTCCCTCCCTCCCTACCTCCTTTCCTTGGTCCCTCACAAGCCTACATCTCTTCTTCATCTCATCCTCTCCCCACCTCTCTCCCCTCCTCAGCCTACATGTGTTATGGGAAATGTAGGCACCAATTGAGAAGAATGAGAAACGGGGGGTGGGGGGGATGGGGGGGAAGGGGGGAAAAGGAATGTGGTAGCAGCACAATGATACCATGTGCAACAGCTCAATGATACCATGTGCAAAAGTCTCTTCCCCTTCCCCTCTCTTGACCTTGGCACTCCATTGGCCCTACCCTCTGTCTCACTCCATTTGATTGTGTTTCCCTCCATTCTTTTTCAACCCCATCTCTCGCTACCTTTTTAACTTTGCGGGGTGCAGATGAAAGTTGGGTTGGTCCTACATACACCCACCACTTCCACAATACCAGCAAACGCAGCAAGAGGCCTTTCTCTGCTGCTAGTGTATACACCTACCCTGCTGTACAGCTGGAGGAAGGATATTTGTTTCCATTTACGGTAATTCATTAGTGCTCGCACAATAAACTATCATTTCTTTTACTATGCATTATTGTACTTGCAGTCTTTGTGCACTAAGCATGTACAGTCTGTGCACTAAAACTGCGTGAAAGTCAGCTGAATGAATGACTGGTTTCCAAGATACGGTAAGACATGGTCTTGGCGTTCCATTTAGTGCCAGTAACTTCAATACCCCCTTTTTAGCAGCCTGTACTGTTTTTCCAGTGTAACATTCTTCATATGTTTTTCATATCAACCTCCATATTACCAGCTGAATGAATGACTGGTTTCCAAGATACGGTAAGACATGGTCTTGGCGTTCCATTTAGTGCCAGTAACTTCAATACCCCCTTTTTAGCAGCCTGTACTGTTTTTCCAGTGTAACCAGGGCTGACGTTTCAAAAAAACCCACTCTGAGGCAGGGGAGAAAAAGATTTCGTTTAGTCCGAGGGTCATTTCCCAAGTTCTGAGTACTCTGAAATGTCAGGTTTGAAAAAATCATTAGTCTGAAAAGTTTTAAGTTTGTAAAACCGCATCCGAGTTGGTGAATAGCGAATATCTGTCAAGCGAGTTTGGCCTAGGGAAAACGTTGCGGAGTTGGCGAGAAGCAGGAGTAAGAGGGGGCGGGGGAAGGGGGATGGGGGAGGGGGGCAGGGGGGGAATTGAATGTAATTCGAGAGAGGGGGAGGGGGGAGGACTGAAATTCGGCAATTTCAGGGGCCATACTCCCTGTAGTCTCGAGTCTCAGTATCGCACAATGAAGTACTCTGAAATTTTCAGAGTTGAAAGACTAACAGGTCTGAGGCCTTCAGAGTTCAGAATACAGGAATACTGAAATTTCAGGAAAGGCGAAAAAAAGAGTCTGAGATTTCAGACAATCAGACTAAAATAGTCTGATAAAATCAGCCCTGAGTGTAACATTCTTCATATGTTTTTCCCTTCTACCTTTATGTTCGTTGGGAATCATACCCACAACGGTAGCAGCGTGTAGTTGGCTTCCGATATTGCGAGTAAATAAAGTTGGTGATCGTCAAGAAGGTCAGCTGTTGCCCTGTTTCTCCTCACTCATGAACCAGGCGAGGTTTTCGTGATCTTGACACGCCCTGCTGGCAAAGCAACGCCACGCCACCATCGAAATCCACGTTACTCAGATTTTCGAGCAGCAGGGTAGCTCGACGACTTTTCGCGAATTTAGCGAAGCATACTTCAGTGCTGATTGGAAGGTCGCAAACTCAAGAATGGTCCGTCGCCAGGTTGGTTTGCCTGTCGCAGCCACGCAGAAAGTCGCGCACCACTTATCGCAAGAACTGTGTCTCCTCAAATCCCCCACCCCACCTCCAACTTCACCTTCCCTGCTGCAGTGGTGTTGCCATTTTTCTGAGACTTCTTAGATTCCTACTAATCTTTATGTCCCCAATCTATGATATCACGCGTTTCTGTTCGCGGCGTTTGAACGCACAGCTTCGCAAAGCGATAAAAAATCATCAGGCTGCCTTCTAGCTCGCACACCAATGGCAACGGACGGCACGGGGCGCGGCATCATTCGGCTCGGCGCGCTTATCTTTCTCACGTGCCTCGCCGTGACCTCTCCAGTTCGCTGTGTCATGTTTGCCGCCTCCCAAGGTTCGTCGCGTGTCACACAAAAAATCTTGAGGCTTGGGGAGCCAGCGCGGACGCATTCAGCTCGGCTTGGCGACATCTCTCACCACAGTTTGTCGGGTTAGCTGGCTCCCACATGTGGAACAATTTCCTTATGTGTGCCCATCACACCTCCTTCTGCTGGTTTTGAAGGAATATATTAGAGAGCGTAGCGATAGCGAGAGAGTCTCTGCTATGGGAATGATGTTGCGCCAGCAACTTGGTAGAGTTTTGGTAGCGTTTGCCTCTAAGGACTATGTGAGAATTGAAGTAGCATTTGGGCCAAGTAGAATTGCAATATCAATTATCAAACACACAAGCAAACAGAAACATATATAGGCAAGCAAGAGTTGCACAATTGTTGCGTGGCGCTGCGAGTAACCCAACCCACACGAAAGTGCTGTGCAGGTGGGTGAACGCGCCCCGCACATTTCCAACCCAACTCGGCACCGGAATGTCTCACCGTGCACGCTACTCCTGCCAACACAGCAAGTGAGCAGCGTGCCTCACAAGCAAGACACCTACGACCCCCAAGACTCGTCATTCCTAGCACCGATTCCGCCGAGTTCGCTGCAGTAGCTCACAGTCACCCGTAGTCACTAATGACCGCCACCGAACTCGTGCGTCGGTGCCGAGTAGACTCAGTCGTTAGGCGCCGACCTGCCAAGTCAAAGGTCATCGAGGGCCCTTGCTGTCGTAGGGCCCTCTAACAGATTTCTGGTGCAAGGTACATCACCAAAATGTTGCTGACCCAAACATGGCCCCCAAGTGTCCTCGACCCCATTCTGTCCTAACGCTGACCCTATATTGACCCGCAAGTAACTTTTGGGTCAGAAGTTAGTAAGGAGACAGTTTGAGGCTAGTAAGTAGACTTGACCCAAAACTGGACCGGATCTGACTTGCTCGAAAGGTCGGCGGATTGATGCTTGTTGGGTACATTATATCTTAACATATCACTATATCAGGGATACGCACAGCACAGATTGCAACCCTATTGTGACCTGGTTCTAACCTAATTGTGACCTGAAAGTCGCATCTGGTTCACTCTAAAATGACCGGACAATGTCTTTGAAGCTACTTTTGTGGCCTCCACTTGTCCCGTACCTGACCCCACAGTCTGACCTAAAAGTCACTTCTGGGTCAACCAATTTGTACCTCGACCTGAAAGTAAGTTTGGGTCAGATTCACATTCGGCCCAGATCCTGCCTGAAAGTTACCCGGGGGTCACTTTTGGGTCATAACATTTTAGGGATGTATGAGAGGAGGGAAGGCAAGTTGATCAGCTTATTGACTCATTTCTTTCTTGCCTTTCCCACTTTCTTAAAAACAGGCTCTCCTTTCCACCCTTCCCTTTTCTGTCAGCTTCGGTGAACCCTTGGGCATTCTTTCCCCCTTGCTTTTGCTGCCTGTGCAGCCTGCTGGCTGGACTTCAGGCAGGCATAGGGGTGAAATTCTTATGAATGGTTGGCTTTCTGCCATGGGTGGATGGAACAATGGGTAGACCTGCAGCTCATTTAAGTTTTTTTTCACCAATGATATCTACCCCTATTTGACCTGCTCTCTTGTCTAACCCTCCGATCAGTGGGACCATAGTTATCAGCGGATGAATCAGTCGCCATGGCATGCCCATGCTCCCATGGACATAATGCTTATCACTGCAGCAGTTCCAATCTTCAAGCCACGGTTTCTGGGTACTTAACACCATCACAAGTGTCCATTCTGCAGTCGTGCTGCACGGGCTGATGAGCGAGGGAGGAATAGAAGGGGTGCCACTCACAGGTGATAAGAGTCGATTTTTTCATTCCTCCGTTCCCTGCCCCACACCCTCCTTCTATCCTTCTCTTGCCCTCCTACCCCCATCCCCCCCACCGCCGGCCGCCAGTGCAAGTCTTGCTTGACTTGCAGCAAGCGTGGGGGCGGAATTACACTGGATGGGTGATTGGGGGGAACTGCAGCTTGGCCGAGCACGTGGAGTGCGATGATCAAGGCATGGTGACCAGCATGTGAGAGCAACAACCTAGCTGGTCTTGCATCCCCCATGTGCGCACCAACCTTTGCTTGCCTTGACTTGGGTGCCTCTGTGTTCTCTCTCGCTCCACCATTATGCGTGGTCTGTATTTTTAATCCCTTGTTCCATTTCGGCGAGTTAACCCTTGCTAACCATGCATTTTCTAGATGCCTTTGTGTGTTTCTTTGTTCTTCATTTGCACTCCCTGAACCATATCACGGTCCTTCTCTCATCCAAACCCACTAACTGCTTTGGTGAACCGCTTGGAATCGCCCCTACTCGTTTTGAAGTCACGTTGAGGAATTCTCAAACAAGATGAAGGAAAATCTTTGATGGGAAACCTGGAATGACCTCCATTCCAATGTTCTAAAATTTGCCCTGCCCTCTGCCCTAGTGCTCGGCCTATTTAAGGGCCCTTTGGGCCCATTCTTTTCTCATCAACCAGTTTTTGTGTGAGTTCACAAGCGGCTCGTGCCGGCGGCCTTCGGCCGCGTGTTTCTGGTGGCAAGATCACAGGGACGGCAAGCACTACAAGAAGCAAAACAAGCAACGATGGCATTCAGCAACAACTAGTCCTACACCAATGGAGAGCATATTCTTGCAAGGGGAGCCCCCTACGCTCGGTCCGCCCCAAGAACAGCGAGCATTCAGCTCATGGTCTGCCACAATTGGCGGGATGCTGACGCGGCGACGCGCACCACATCAACAGGATTGCCCCCAAAGACAACATCTCTCACATCGTGGCCGCTTCTGCGCCCCACACGGCCATACCTGCAAGGGTGCAATGTGGGCGGCGATATTTGTTGCCACCTGGACGCAGTCGGCTTTTGGATTGTGAGCAGGCAAGCTCCCTGGGATCGGCAGCATGGACGCGTGAGAAGCCTCCAGAACCTGTACAAGGGCCCACTGGCACTCCGCCAGCGCCCACAAACTCGCATCTTCGCAGGAAATGACGCAACAGCTGGGGAGCAGAC